CACACACACACACACACACACACACACACACACACACACACACACACTGTATATTGCATTTACTTGAGTTTTTCTAACACTGGCTGGCTGTCAGATGACTGTATCTACCCAACACAAACAGTTTGGTTGCAATGAATGACTCTAACAGCACTTAAATGAATCCCACCTTCTCCCTCTGGCCATGCTGCCAGTAGGTGATGTTGTAGGTGGCAGAGTGGTAAACTTCCCTGAGTGCAGAGATCATGAACACCGGATCTTTGATGCTGACTTCGATAGCAGCTCCATTGGAGGAGAGAGAGACATCGGGAGAGCTGATGATGGCTGAGGGAGAAAGAGAGCAGAGCTGACAAAGTGCTGGTGTGTTTGAATAAAACACTTCTGCCATGTCCTCAGTAAAGACATCCATGTTGTTGACTTCATTAGACAATAATACAGCGATATTAAAGTCATTCTTTAGTAATCCCTCGTCACAAATGTGCTTTCAGCTCTACTTCTGTCAATTGTTTGAGTTCATCATTATAATTCACTCTTCACATAGTTCCACCACAGAGACTCAGACTGCCCAGTCATAGCATAGCATCGGCTAGCTCTGGCTCTGCTCCATTGACTCTCATTGACTCTCAATGGTATCAGATTCTCTTCATGTTCAGGCTGGTTTGGGAGCAAGTCAACTCATAATAGTGACACTAGATCCCCGGTGAGGTTGGCAGGAGGAAGACATTTCCAAATGGTTACTTTCTAAATAGAACCTGTGCAGCTAACATTAGCATGATACATTATCACATAATACCGTCACCACGTCCATGCTACGCTAGCCACTGAAGGTAGACTGATTGTATACACATGCTACTGTTGGGGTCTGACCATGTGCTTGTGGTCACCATGTGCCACTGAACAAAGGGCCCCAGGACTCCCTGTGGTGCACCTCTGGCTGCTTCTGAAACTACTAAACTCTCTGTCTTATCTGCAGAAGGAAGGAAACGCATTCTCCAGAGAAAGAGACAAATTCTCTTTCCAATCAAGCGGTTATAAGGAAGCAGAATACCCTGATTTTATGAGAGGTTTATCCACACAGCTCGAGTCTAACCGAGAAACTCAAAGGAGCACGTCGACCATGAAAGAGTTCACAGTGAGGGCTCACTTGGTGTCTGGGCATAATTAGGTCACAGTGTGTTTATTACCTTGTTTGTTTTGTTCTAAGTTACTGTATCGTTATAACTGTGACTTTATCATTTAAAAGACCAGAACCGCCAGTTTCTGTGTGATAAATTAACAGTTTCTGTATCCCACGGCTGCGGTGAGGATCTGCCCTGCTTACACACACGGAGTGGATCTGGTCTGCGCTGCCTCTGTCAGGTTTGAAAGGAGTGATAAAGTTTGCCGTCTTGGTTTGGACTATGGAGCCTCCGTGTCGTTGATTTACTCAAAACCCTCGGCTCCACTTTTTGAAGACGTCCGTTCCGCACAACACGATTGGTTGATCGGGATGTGAAAGCTCCAAAAAGTCACCATTGTTCTCTTTCACGTGTAATATTGGCATACTATGTGTAAGTACACAGTTTTATCGCACAAAACAAATGCCACCAGTGTGTAAAGACCTTTTAAGGAGGAATCATTGAAGTGCTAAAAAGCCATCCTAAAATGATTTCTTACAAGATGTGTTTTTGAGAGCAGATTATCTGTAAATGCTAAATAAACATCACTGTGCAGTGTTTTAGAGTGACGAGCCTGAACACACAGAGTTTCTACTCACTATCTTTGTCCAAAGTAATCTGGTTACTTTCCGTCCAGGCGGAGCTCTCTGTGCCCGACTGTGCCCGCACTCTGCCCGTGTACGTTCCGTACTGAAATATGGAGATGTCGAGGTGGCTCAGGTCACATTCCAGGTTGGAGATGTTCACACAGCCCACTTTGTCGAAGGAGACGGAGACTGAGGATCTGTGGACAAGATACAGTGCTGGTGTCATGGACCTGCCTACGTTGATTTCCATTCTAAAATGTGTGTTTGTGAAGACAGCATAGAAAAAGACAGCAGTGACCAGACATTCAGCACAGGACTTAAGGTTGAGAAGCCCGACAGACACAAGATGAACATTAATAATAATAAAAACAAAACATGAGCGGCCCGACAAGCCTACTGAGCTGGACCGCTCGTTCCAGTTTGTCATGTTCACAATGAAATGACTGAGCGATCAAAACAAGGATCAGGCTCCGTCATTACGCAGGGTTCTGTTATTATGCAGGGTTCACAGACACATTCAGTTGGAGCCCATTTGTAACACAACATACACGTGACAAACAGAACAGAAACAGTAGTACATGTACAGTACAGTAGTACATTATTGCAGTGCATTTATAGGGCCTGAGCAGCAACAACGTAGAGCCGCACAGACCTTACTGTAATCACTTATTATGTCACACATGTAATCACATTTTTGAGGACCTTCTCATACTAACAAATTTAGCAAATTTGGCAGGCTCATCAGGACTAGTGAAACATGTAAGGTTGTATGGGTCCCATGCTCGGCTATGACAAAATGGCTCGCTAGCAGTTTGAAAGGCCACGCCCCTCACCCCATATGTCCAATTGACTTGAAATTGTACAAACCTACACAGCTGACGGAGCTCTACAAAAAAAAACAAAAAAACAGTTGGACCATTAAAACACGCCTATTTAGATTTTCCTCCATTTCAAATGTTACGGTACTCTTTTTTTTTTTTTAAGTGCTGGATCCAATTGCTACCAATTATTATTGTGATCATTATTGGATCTGTATCATCAAAAGTCATCAAAACCTTGTTGATATCTCAATGTGTTTAGAAGATATGGACCAATGAACAGGGGCGTGGCTTTGTACATCAATACACAACTTCCTCTAACTCCTACAGAATGTAATCGAATTTAAATCTGGTCAGGATGATCTAAAGAGCTTTATTATCAAAATCGTGAGTTTTCATGGAAGGAAATTGACGTGGCCTGGTGCCCATTTTGTGCCATTCGCCATGAAACAAGAAGTTGTTGTAACTCCAAGCTACATTGTCCAATCTGCCGCAAATCTATTATGCATGATACCTATCTAGGCCTGAGCCCATTTCCTTGCAAAAAATTTCAAAAACGCATAGCGCCACCTACTGCAAAAGGAAATGACACGTTTTATACTTTGACGTACTCCGCCACCAGATCAACCTCACATGTTGTAAGGAAAGCCTCAACACATCGATGATGCCACACTGCGATCATTGGAAAACAAGACAACATGACAAAACAGTAGTGCATTCCTGTGTTCTTTCTATTTTCATCAGTAAACAACGGCAACAGAACAATTTACTAGGCAATATAGCCGAAAAACATTCTACATCAGAGAAACACTGTCAATCAACTCTGACTCTGTTTGAGCACCAAGCATCAGTGAAGTAAAGAGATTCTGCCTCTGCTCGACCCCCGTAGTCCTGTGTTCATCACACACCAGTGAGATGCTAAATCATATTTTTTTGGACTCATTAAGTGAAATTAAACATTTTCCCACGGCACACCTGACGATCTCTCACAGCACACCGGTTGTTCCGCGGCACAGCGGTTGAAAATTGTTATGGAAAATTTCAATGATCAATCGGGAGAAGAGTTAGAGTTTAACAATCTATGTCAATGAACAGAGTCTTGAGAGAATCAACGTTGTTCGTTTTTTTATATTTGCAAATAGGAGAGCGTCTCCACCGACACGTATCTCAGTGTACAGTAGGGAGGCTGTCCACTAAGTCACAGAAAAACACATATTTTATACTTGCAAAACCCCCCTTCACCTAGGTAAATCATTCAATGGAAAACAGGTATTTAGACACGCTCAAAGGTCTAGGGTCAGCCAGGACATGACAACAAGACACGTATTGTATTGATCCGCTCAAAGGTCTGGTGTCATTGTCAGAGAGTGTTCAAAACATATTTTAAAACTCAACATGATAAAAAAACATTTTCCCATTCCAAAATCACTGGACTAGAGGAGCCGCGGCCGCCAACAGCAAACTCAACATTCCAGAAAATACAACATTTCACAAACTTTAGCATTCAGAAAACAACACACAGGTTGGAAGATGATAAACTGGGGGTGCTGCCACCAAGTATGCATATCTGAAAACCTTAAATCTGGAGTTTTAGGAAACATATAATATCGGTGATATCTACATTCTGCGCTGTAAAGCGGGACCTACCACAAGACATGGGAGATAATGGGATAATGCAATGAAAACACATCCATTTGCTGTGCACACTTAAATGCAATATAATGTACAGGCTATGTAATACTTGTATATTACACTTGTTGTATTGCAGAATAAATGTGTTTTTTTCCAGAAATGTTGCGTTTTGTTAAACATCATTGTGTTTTGGCCCCTGAGAGCCACTAACTTGGATGCTACCTCAGTACTTATGCTACTGAAAAACTATACGATACAGAAAACAGCAACTCTGGTACAATGCTGGCATGATGTCAAATAAAGACCTAATTAACCATTACATCAATAAAGACCTTATTAACCATTAAATCAATACATATCATCACCTGACTATGACGGGGAGGATATGCGACGGCTATGACTACCATGTGAGCAAACAGTTGCCCATCTAAACATCCAGCAGACATGGAGCAACATTAGCATTCATTGGGAGTCATGTTTGTGTCCGTACTCTACGACAAGCTGGAAATCACACATGTTCAACAAACGATCACATTATTAACTTGATATTAGCAAACAACTGCCTGTTGAAACATCCAGCTGTCACTTAGAAACGTTCATTTGGAGTCGTATGTGTGTTCACATGAACACTCTAAAGCCTCAGTCTCCTTGTAGCTCTGTTCATGGTCTCCAGCAGCTCCTGAGGGGAACGTGTCTCTTTAGCTGCTGAAGGCTCCTCTATGTTCACCAGCTAGTCTCCACCTGTCTGTCTGCTGTTTGGTGACTTCTTTGAGCTTTTTGGTGAATGTGGTTCTCACTATCTCTCTATTTAGATCTGTTTGACTCTCCACCACCAAGGAGAACCAGAGAGCAGCGGGGTCAGGCTTTTCTGTGGGTTCCACACCTTACACATTATCCGGATTAATTTGTTGTTAGTGCAACTTTGACCTTCTAGGCCAATCACTGTTAATTGGAAAATACAAATAACAATTCTGAGACAAAAAAAAAAAAATCACATTTGACAGAAACAGCAGATTTGTAATTTAACACCAACTGTATGTTCAAATGAACAAGTGCAATGTGAGTACCACTGACTCACTGATGTTAGCCAGGCTGCACTGCACAAGTTACCCTCAACGGTAAATGGTGGACAAATCAAATAAATGAAGAACACTGAGCTCATAGTTCCCAGATCTGGTTTACAGTGTAATCTGTGTTTGCTCATTGGACATGGCACATACTTCTGTACAACAGCACTCATGTTACTGTTGATAAGAGGGAAGTTCTGTGTTCAGTGGTAGAGGGGGAAGGGCTGCTGATTTGCCTAGTGAGTTTGTCAGTTAGTAAAATGATGCTCCTGGTAAAATGGCAAATGATCTTGCATTTGAAAATAGTCTTCCAACCACTTCAAGCGCTGCCCACTACATATCATCATTCACCCAGTCACACACTGATGGCAGAGGCCACCATGCAAGCTGCTACCTGCCCATCAGGAGCAACTTTGGGTTAAATGCCCAAGAACAATTCGACATGGACTGGGCGACATGGGGATTGAGCCCCCAATCTTCTGTAAAACGACGCGCTCTACGTCTGAGCCGCCCCAAAAATGTAAAAGTCTGTCTGTTAAAGCCGAAGCCTCAATCAGAACACACTGCAAACAATGAACCAATCCAGCAACCGCTTGAACCACACAAGCCACTCTACAAACACAACCACTCTGTCAATTGTTTTTAATGATTAAGATGAATTTGCAATCAATCAGCATGTCAGATCCGGTCTGATCACAGCATGAATGGTGGAGCAGATAGAATCTATTCATATGTTAAATAGCATTTACCTGGACTACAGGTACTGTGTGTTAGTCCTGAGCAACTGGGACCTAACACTTGGTATTGCTTATAGTTGTGTAGATCCATACTGTACACTGTTCACTGTTCCCTCCTGCTGTATGCAGCTCTTAGTAGTTCAAATGTAAAAAGTAATTTGGGTTCAGACTGGACAAAGCAAACCATCTGAATATAAAAAGCACAATAGACTCACTTGTACTGAGTTGTGTAGACGATGCTGCTGGCTGGACCTTCAGGTGAATCCCACATCAGCACCAGGTTCATGTTATAGGAGGTCAAGCGGACATGTGTAGGTGCACTGAGGACTCCTGATACCACTGCACAGTCCAAACAGAATCAGGTACAGAGTTAGTATAATCACTCCACTCAAGTACACGCATCATCAGAGCAGCTGTACTGTTTGAACTGACTGCAGCCATGCAGATTAAGTGCAGGTGTTTTGTCTGTGATCATCACGGTCATGTGTCCCTCTCATCTTCACTACATCACTAGAAACACATGCTGTGATGTAGCGTCTCTTCTCCAGACACACACACCTTATTCCAGTCTGAGCTAAGTGATGAATACAGAACATGCTTCATAATACTCTACTCATATTAACTCCGTATTAAACAGCTCTGAAGTGTATGTAAGTGAATGTCTGAAGTGGTCCACCTGGCTGGTCGTCCGTCTAACAGTGAGTTAGTTACAGTAATGTCTCGCTCTCCGTTCAGTGATCATTCATGTGATGTTACCTGTGGGTCCGAGTGCGCTTGAAAGCGTCAGGATGAAGGCACACATGGCGGCTGACATGTTTGTCGGTGGATGAAGTGTTCCCGCGGAGCAGCGTGAGAGAGTCGCTGTCTTTAATGAAACCATTTCCTGGAGCGTTCACTGACAGCAGCAGGGGGAATTCCACGGAAACGAAACTCCTTCCTTCTGAGAAACGGCAGCTTTACAGGAACCAGCCTATCGGTGCCCGCTGACACACATCCGCTCTGTGTGGGCGTGTCTAGTGTGTGCTGTGTCTCTATCACGCTC